ATTGTCCGTATCGATTGTTGCTTGAAACAAGGGGGAAAGTCCGGTGTCAAATCAGTGCATTTTCTGCTTTGCTGGCCTGGAAAGTGAACAAACTTGCCCGGCCCACTGCAATACCATGCCACGATGACTATAGAACATCATTGACAAGTGCTGGGTGCAACCAAAGTGTTCAATGTGAGTCAGTCATTACTAAAAATGTCTCTAGGATGTGCAACTTGCTGGCAGTTGCTTGTGTATCAGCGGTCCATGATGAGAAGTGAGACGAGAAGACTATAGTCCAATGATGAGAAGTGAGACGAGAAGACTAGTCCGACTTCCAGTCTACCCCCTCTAGTCTGCAGTCAATAGCTAGTCGAGTCTAAAAACACAGTTGGGAACAGGTCGGGAACAGGCCGGGAACAGGTCGGGATGAAAATAATAGAACATATCCTAAGGGTACGCTTAAAGACGTGCTCCACCGCTCCCGACCTGTTCCCGACCTGTTCCCGACCTGTTACCGACCTGTTCCCGGCCTGTTCCCGACCTGTTCCCGACGTGTTCCCAAAATGGGTACCGCGACAATCTGGCACTTTGGCAACTTCAAATTTTGGTATCACTGCCCTCTGATCTATTTAGCGAACAACGAAGCCGCCGGAGCCTGTCCAAATCTTCCAGATGCATGCCGCGTCTCACATACTGTCACTCCAGCACTCAGGCTCACAATGCTGTACTCATACTGCGTACTGATACTCACTGATGCTGCTGCGTGCTCATTTCTTCTCAGGTGACTGTGAGTCTTTTAATCTGAAGTCTCTGAGTCAGTCCATGGATGTGTCATAAATTCGTGCTGAGTCCTGATGCCTTGCGGTGAGAAAAGTGTCAGTGAGATACCTTGCATGGCTTTTGGCAGTAATGATTCATTCCAGCACCAGCACTTCTCCATTTTTAGCACCACTGTTTTCACCAAAAACAAAACCTTCATTCCAGCACCAGCTCCAGCACCAGCACTTGCCCCGCTTTTAGCACACCTTTTTTCACCAGAAACCCTTCACGTCCTAAGCGTATTTGGGGCTAGCCAATATATAGGGTTGTTGATGGTTGTTGTAAGATGTTTGCAAGAGGGTTGTATGGTTATATATTTTGGTTATATACTGTAGGTTATTATACCTGCAATGCTAACGTTGTTCCCTCTTCCCTATTTTCCTCTTCTTCCACCCGAGCTGGTCATCCACCCCTCCACCACTCAGGACTCACGACCTCCACCAGCTCCGCCTCGGCTGAGCTCCCCACGTCCTCGTCCTTGTCCGCCGCGCCCGCGGTCCTCGCGGCGGCTGGGCTCGTGGTGCCTGGGCGACTTCTGCGGGGGGCGGTTCAGGGAGCTGCTGGGGCCTTTCAAGCCTAAACAAAATGACAGTTCTGAATGAAGGAGGGTTTTCATAGCTTTTGTAGCCTTTTAGGCATGTATCAAGTGCTGTTGTGGTTTGAGAACCACGGGCGAAGGAAATGCCACACCCAAGGTGCTGGCTCAGCGACAGCTTGTGACTGGCCGACGCCTGGCACAGATTGGGCCTGATGACAGACGCAGGGAGGTGCAAAACTCATGTGAATGGAAGAACACTTGGCACAACCAGCGCCCACATAGGACCTAATTACAAATGACTAATGACTATAGTGGAACAGGGGGTTGCACATCCATACTTGCCTGAACCATGGTTTGGTGTTTGCTGATTGTGATGTCACGATATTATGTTGCAATGCAGAATGGCCCAATTGCATTTGGCACTTCGGTGTGTCCACTTGGACGTCATTGTTGTTTGCTTGAGGCTGGAACTCAAACCGGGTGGTTTTGACCCACGGAAGGTTGTGCCAAAATGATTGTTTACTGGTTTGTTTGCCGAGACTATGAGACCTCAGGACGTGCTGACGGGAAGATCAACAACAAGGTGTCACCAGAAGTGTCGGGAGCTCAGCACACAGGTGAAAGTTAAGGACGGGCAGTTGCAATTGCATAATCAATCATACACAGCTGGGGACGGGTATAAGTTTACAAGACGGTAATTATAAGTGGCAAGTGGGTTATAATTCGTCGTTACTGTAGATTGTATAGAGCTTAGATTGCACCCCCAGGCAGTGACGGTCACAATTTTTAAAAATCATCATGGCCAGTGAAGATCCATGGCCTGGATTTGTTGACATTCGGTGGGGAGAACTGAGTTTTCCATTCTGAAACCGGCGATCACCTCCATCAATCAATGACAATCCAATTTAATCCATCTGAATTTCTTTTGTTGCATTTGCCTACGTTTTGATCTCCTTGGCAAACCCCCAGTAGAGAAGGGATCGTGCTAGCAGGGAGCGACCATACTTCAAGAACCCTAAAGTTTACGCTTCTTACTCTGTTCCAACATGACACTTGCGGTCTACAGCGGATCGGATTGACACGTCCATTGTGCCTGGCAGGTACAGCACGGTCAGATTTCCACACCCGTTTAAATTTATAATACTTATAAGGCGTTCAGGTGTGGAAATCTGGCCGCAACTTAGGTGTCGACATGTTGCACGTAGGATTCTTTCGGGAAAGGGTTTGTGATGTTTTAGAAGTCAAGAAGCGCAACTTTTGGCACCCCAGTGTACAGTTCATGGGGTGAACTTCGTTAAAACCCTGTTACACAGTTCAAAAAGAGAACTCTGTAGCCTCGAAGGCACAATCAACTCTGAAGCCTCGAGTCGTTGCGTGTCATCCTCAATGCCAACAGAAAAACAATAGGAAAGACAGGAAAACGAGGGAACACGCTCTCCTTGTGCCAAGATGTTTCGACAAAGGCCAGGGTGATTTCTCGCTAGTTTGGACCCTTTCAACGGAAGTTGCATGAAATTACACCTGACTGACTCGGCCACTGTTGGAGGATATGGCTTGCTTTTTCGTGACGGGGGGACTGGGCCATGGACTGGAGTGCGTGCCGAGGCCCAAGGTGGTGACGAAGGAGGACAGCCGCAGAAGTTGCGATCAGACCGAATTAGAGAGACCCCTTGTGCACCGCGGTCAGTGGGTCAGTGGCATGCATGAAAGCCTATCACTCACCACCGGATCACCTCCCCCCGCGTTTGGCGCAAATCCTCAATAGGACCTGGAGGCGGGCGCCAAGAAGGTCTATTGCCGATGCTGGCTTTCCGGCACATTCCCACTCTGCGATTCTGGGCTCCGTATCGCATGTCAATCGCTTCGATTCTGAACGGTTCAGGGAGCAAGCGATGGAGGGGTGGAGGCCCGCAGACCCTTAAAGTTTGTATGGCCATATCACGCCATAGGACATATGATTTCGTGTGGGAGCATTTTCCTCTCAGAATCGGTTGAAGGGAAAACGGGAAAACCCACAGGAAACCCATAGATGCCATAGTTTTGGGGCTAAAAACCATTGTTGTGGCTTTCCGGTAGTTTTTTTCCTTAAACATCTAAAAAACCGTTTGATTTTGACATCCGTTCCAAGGGTTGTTGATGTGAGATTAATACCCATTGGTTTCATCAGGCCCGGCGGCTGGTTACACTTGCTTTTGGGTGTGTTCATGTCAAACTCATTCAGGACTAAAGTTAATGGTGTGAAATTTGAGCAATATGTGTCATGGTGTGTTCAACGTTCTGTATTCAACTGTTTTTAGGCCGACTTGTGCTTTTTGATCACTCTCACTTTATAAAGCAAACTGAAAGCATGGTCCAAAGCCTAAGGATGGCGCGCATGCCAAGCACAATGACGAGACGGGAGACAATGCCGGCAATCCCAGACCTACAAAGCTGATTTACTTGCAGGGCGCATGACTGCATGACTGCATGGGGGAGAAATGAAGCACAGGTCGCATTCTAAAGACCAGGGGTCAAGGAGCCATCTATGGCTCCTTGGGTCGCTCCTTGCTTTGGAGCCTTTGGAGCACCTTTGCCGGTCTCCACCGATCATCACCCCCCACTAGACCTCAAACTGAACACGTCAGCTTGGTCCTTTCGTGCCATCCCTGGCCCTACCGTGTGGGTGTCCAAGGTGGGACCGTTGATCGTGAGTGTGAAGAAGAGTGGCTAAGGCTGGAGGGACCGGGGTGTGAGAATCAGACGTCTCAGACATCACTTGGCTGTGGCATACTTGTAGCGAGCTATGCTGGATTGAGACTCACTGGAATTGTCAGTGCCAATGGGTTTGTTCGATTTGGTTCGTATCATTTGATTGTTTTTAATTGATATGAATACAGGTTCCTGCATCCAAAAGCACCTCGAGGTGCCGTTGCTAAGCAGGCTCCAACTTCGGTGACGGAAATCTGGCCTCAGCCTCAAAGCCTCAGCACTGAACAGATATTGGACTTAGAACTTGGAAGGAGTCATTGAATCATTAAGCTGTTGTTTGGGCAGACGCACATTCCAATTCCAGACGCGATCCAAATGCCGCTCCTGCACAGTGCCTCCCTGTATATATGATATGGTGCTAAAACTTTGTGCATCGACTGCTAGCAGCAAGCTGCAAACAAAAGGCTTTTGGTTTTGCAGTAAGCATCAAAATCCTAAAGAATTGCATATATATATATAGAATTGTCGTCATTTGTTATCTCATACATGCAGGGGTATGCACCGGGGCGAGGAACGCTCGTGCCTGTGACCCGAGGTTTTCGCCCCGTCGCGTGGCGGGAGGCAGACCCAACTTCGGAGGAAAAGGGCTGCTGACTGCTGAGCATGTCCATTTCGATGGCGTAGGGGCAGATAGGCTAGGGGTGCTGACTCTGCAGTTCACATCAGTTCACACTAGTGATGACTCTTTAAGAAATTGAGGTGTGTGTAATCCTCCTTTGGTGTTTAAACCCTCACGCCGCACGCCAGGAACTTCTCGAACCTCAAAGGTGACTTAAAAGGATTTGACCATCCTGACATTTGCTGACCCATCTCGCCGCTTGTTCTCCTACCCTCGCACCTCGCTGGCTGAACAGCGACCGCCCCAAGAACCGACGCCACGCCCCGTTTTGCCACGATTCGCCGCTTTTGCGCCATGTCCAAAAAGGCCGGGCCAAAACGACCAACCGGGCCGCGTCGTGTGCGGACCAGGCCGCGTCAGAGGCGTTCCAACGGATTTGACCTGCGACAAAAAGCGGTTGCTGGTGGAGAAGAGCGATGCACCATGCCATTGTTTGAATGGGAATCGGAAATCCCCTTCTTGGCCAAGAGGGGCTATGACAACATTATATAAATAGATCAATTGAATGGTCCGCACATCGGCGCCGTGTCTCCTGCAGCCTACCCTGGTGAGAACTTTCAGGCCACCTTGGTGTTCTCCCGCCACGGCGAGTCCGAGTGGAACGTGGCCAACATTTTCACTGGTTGGGTGGACGTGGATTTGTCCGAGAAGGGCCTGGGTGAGGCCAAGGGTGCTGGTGAGCTATTGAAGGCTGACGCTCGGTGTGGCGAGCTGAGAAAGACATGGGAGGAGAGGTTGGGGTAATTAGACTTAGAGATGGTGTGGATGTATATCCAAGCAAAACCCATCTCGGAGAATCTGGGCCGTTTTTGATGTGGAATTCAAGGTGGATTCCACTTACTGTAAAATGTTCAGACTCTCAGACTTTCTGGAATCAACATCCACTTTTTTGTGGAATTGGAACGTGGCTTCCGGGTGCATTCCCACGTTCCAACCCACCTCAAAGAAGATGTCGCTTCTCCCACCGTGGGTTGACGACGGACGATCATGTTGGCTGAAATCACATTCGTTCCGTGTTGACAGGTGGCGGTGCGCATGTGGGATAGGCTGGGTAGCATGGCCCATCTAAGGAGGGCTTGAAGATCGATGTGGCCTTCACCTCCTACCTGAAGCGAGCCATCAAGTACGCCCCAACAAATATTGCTTGTGCTTGCTGCTTGTTAGGGAGTTTGGTTGAAGGAATGTTTGATTGCTGCCAGTGGTGTTTGTGAAAAATGCTTGTGATTCGTTGGCCCTGTGACCACTGCATGTATGTCAGGCCAATTTCTCACCCCAAAGCGCACGCCAATAGGCGCGCGCGCTGGTCCAAACCAAAAATCGCAGGACCTGCAACCTGGCCTTGGAGGCAGCTGATCAGCTCTACGTGCCCACCAACAAGTCCTGGCGCCTCAACGAGCGAATGTACGGTGGCCTCACCGGTTTGGACAAGAAGGAGCAGCGTCCGTTTCACGCGGACGCCGGCGGTAAAGCCAGACCCCCCTGCGGAGGGGATGGAGTCGAGTGCATGACTGGGGTAATGAGTCCCATTTGGATGATTTGGTGGTGGAGAGTGATGGATGTTGAAAGGTCAATCCTTGAGGGGTCGGACTTGTTTCCTTGAAGGGTCGAGTTGTTCGGCACACCATGTTTGCCACTTTGCAGTTTCTTGTCTTGCAGAGAGGGCAATGAAGGGTGAACTGTTTGTTAGACTTGCCGGCCAGCTCCAGCAAAGTACAGAGGCAGAGACCAGTAAGCCCACTCAAAATGAAAGATCAACGGCCATGCCGTCCACTCAGGATTGACCGAAAGGCGAGGAAGTTCAGAAGTCACCACATGTTCAATATGTCTGCCTGTGAAACCAGCCATTGGCCTGAGGTGCATTCATGTACCGTTGCTTCGGTTCAAAGGTCAGTAGCTCCAATGCGCCAGGCGGCGCGTGGTTGGTGCGACTTGGCATGAGCCTGGAAAAGCTGCGCATTTGATCGAGTGGATTTCGTTCGTTGAGCATTGTTGTTGGAAGTCAAAGGATTGACACCAGTTGCTTGTGTTGGGGCTGCCAGTTCAAACTGGTAGCGGAGCCCTACGGGGCCCGCTTGGGATAAAGGAGACATGTCAGAACAGGCCAGAAATGAATCGGCCATCCGTCGCTTCAATGGAGATGGACAAGACCCTCAGAAGGACTATAAGCTGTGGAAACGTTGGTCACGTGCATATTTGGCTGTACAGCGTGCAAAAGGAACTGATGAAAATGTTTTTGGAGCAATGCTGTTTACAATGCTGGATGGAACTGCACTTCGTGCCTTCGATGCAGTCAATATGGATGATTTGGAGCAGTCAGGGGGTCAAGACCTTGTTTACCAGGTGTTGGACGAACGGTTTCCGGAGGAGGCTGTTCACGACCGCCTGGGAGAAGTGCTGGATAAGATCTTTGACTTGAAGGTGGAAAAGGGTGAATCTACGTCAGGTTACACTGGCAAGGCAAGAGCAGCATTCTCCGCTGCAGAGGCTGAAGGTGTCCGCCTGCCGTCAGTGGCTAGAGGATACCTGCTGCTGCGATTCGCCAAGCTACCTCAAGACAAGAAGGCCGTTGTCATGGCTGCGGCAAGACAATCTTATGAAGAACAAGACATCGCTGCAGCTCTCAGGACGACGTATCCTGAAGGCCTGTATTCCGGTCGTTCTGGAAGTCATGTCGCCACAGTTGAACCTCTGCAAGAAGAATCTGACGTGGGTGACGTTGGTGATGTTTTCCTTGCTGAGGACGATGAGGGCCAGGTTGGGGATGATGACCCAATTGAAGAACAAGATGCCATCGATGTTCTGCTGACATGGAAGCAGACACGACAGAGCATCAACAAAGAAAAACTATCCCGCGGGCTGAACTCAGGAGGACTCAAGAAGCTGGAAGCCCGGGTGAAGTGCTACAAGTGTCAGAAAGTCGGACACTTCTCTCGCAATTGTCCGCAACGCAAGGGCAAGGCGAGTGGCAAAGGTGACACAAGCAGTGGCTCAACCAGAGTCAGTCTGGTCTACATGGTCGGTGGCACCACCGAGATCAGTGAAGATGACCAGATTGCTGAGGTGATGAGAAGCTGGGCAGATCGACCCAAGGACAGCTGGACAGTGACGGAGAAGGAAGTGGTGAGACATCATGTGAACCCCCGCTCTTCGTTGTTCAGCCCGGCTCGAACAGGTTGCCCAGTGCCCATTGGCCAGTTGAGCATGGCTCGAATGACAGAGATGAAGTACAAGGACGGCACGGTGGAAGAGCAATTCACTCCGAATTGGAAGAACAGCCTTGAGGCTCATCGGAAGACTCCGACACCGTGGACGGGGAGGACAATTTTCTACCGTCTGCAGGAACATGGAGCATTGGACGATGAGACACAACAGGATGGAAAACCCCGGTTCAAGCAGGATGACATCGAAGATGGGCTGGATAATGAGACACTTGGAGATGAACATGTCCTTCAAGCCGAAGGCCAAGAGCATGAGGAATCAGAAGATTGGTCCAAATTCAATGACGAGAAACTGTTCCGCCTCAGTGACCCGCAAGAAGAGCTGGATCAAGAGATCTTCGGCAGAGAGTATGCCTTCCAGGTCGGAGACATTGAGCAGGAAATTGACGAGATCACGGACGCTTTCTTTGCCGAGTCAGCCATGTGGGATGATCCGGAGCAAGAAGAAGCGGAGACGTTCAAAGAACCTGGCAGTAGTGATGATGAAGACGGTGATGAATCACAACCCCAAGAGAGTCATTGTGCTTTAGTTCATGAAGCTGGATATGGCATCTTGGACACGGGATGCGGCAGAGGCCTCATCGGGGCCAACACGTTGGACAGGCATGTCAAGCTGCTGAACGCCAAAGGATATGACATCACCGAACTGCCAGAGAAGATGCACACCTTTAGGTACGGCAATGGCTCAGCCGACAAGACTGGAAGGCGAGTGGAAATCCCGGTCTTTGTTGGGGGCAAGGAGCTCAGAGTGCGCCTCCACGTGGTTCCCAGAGAAGTGCCGCTGCTGATCTCGAAACGATTGCTGAAGAGCCTAGGGGCGATGATTGATTTGAACGACAACAAGCTGGTGATGACCAAGGCTGGAGTTGCAGCGCCAATCCATGAGATGAAGGACAATTCCTATCAGATCAATCTCCTTGATCTTGATAAGAGGACCACCCTGTCGACACCAGAAGTGGATGTGATGCGAGTCGAACCCTTTTGTGAGGACTCGAGTCAGGAAGAAGATGACCACACCGGAGTTTGTCATGTGTTCAAGGCCAAAGAACGCAAGCAGATCCTGGAGGGAGTTGGCTCAGTGTTGGCAAATCATGCCGCCGACGCTCCGACCATCGTCGAAGTGTTCTCTCCGGGCCGCTTCCAAGCCATGGCCGAACAATGCGGACTCCAAGGTCGAGGCGCCTTGGACCTGAGCGATGGATGGGACTGGAGGAGAAAGGAACAAAGAGATAGGGCTGAAACGATCCTGAATCTTGTCAACCCTGACTTTTCCTTGTTTTGTCCGCCGTGTGGTCCGCTGTCGATGATGCAAAATCTAACCAGTGATGCCAAAAGACAAGATCTAGCCGCCCATCAGAGAGCTGTCCGGGATGCGAAAGGTATGGTGGCATGGTCACTGTCAATGGCCGAGAAGCAGATTTACCAAGACAAATATTTTGTTTTTGAATCATCGAAGACAAGTGGTGCATGGAGAACACCTGAAATGCAAGCCTTTGTTCGCAAGCATAGTCCTTTCCTAGTTGATGTACACGCATATGCAGTAGGATTGCATGATCCGAAAACAGGAAAGCTTTTTGGGAAACAATGGAGATTCATGACGAACTGCCAGACTGTGGCGGCAGCCCTTGGACGCCTGACATGCAGCCAAAACCATGATCACCAGATCGTGGAGGGAGCCTCAGATGGGATGTTGCGGTCGGTTCGTACTCAGGTGTATCCAAATAGAATGATAAAGATAATACTCGGAGCAATGGCACAGCACGATTTTGTCACACATCATTGCCTGGCCGTGAGCCAATCGACTGTGCAAGGTGAGTTGAAAGGAGAAGGTAGGCGTAGGGTTGAGAGAGCCATAAATAAGTTACATGTCAACCTAGGCCACGCATCCAAGGCCGACATGATTAGGATCCTAAAGCATCATCATGCTCAGGAGCCAGTTCTCGAGATCGTCAAGGCCTTTGAATGCAGCATATGTCAGGCCAGGGCAGCTCCGAAGGCCGTGAAGGAGTCCGCCCCGCCGAGAGACATGGCACCATTGCGATATGTAGGCATAGATGTGAAACACTTGCCATCCTGGAGGCCGCATGAAAAGGTCAAAGCCCTAAATGTAGTATGCCGCATGTCAGGACTACAGCAGGTGTACCCCTTTCGTGAACTAGAAACGTCGGAAGTGATCGGTAGGCTTTACCGCATGTGGACCAGATCGTATGGCCGGCCTAGATATGTAAAGTTCGACGCGAGTAGGTGCAACCTCGGTCAGCAGTTCATTGACATCCTCGAACGTGACGGTACGACGCCGCTGGACATTCCAGGCGAAGCGCATGAACAGATGGGCGACGTAGAAAGTCAGGGATGGCATTTCGAGGAAGCTTTCCGAAGAGTTGTTGACCAAATGGCTCCAGAGGATTTCAATCAGTGGCAAGAATGTGTTGATGTGACAGTGGAAGCTCGAAATGCACTCCTGCGCAGGGCTGGGCACAGTCCATACCAGTTGGTGTTCGGTCGAGAACCAGAGTTCCCCGGCGACGACCTCTGTACTGAACAACCCAACCCAATAAGTAACAGTGCCATCCTTGAAGATGCAGTGGCAGAATACCAACACCGAGCTAGAAGCTGTGCACGACAAGAGATGCTTCGGCAACTAGACCATCGTGCTGCCCGGATTGCTCTGAACGGTCGGCCGCGTCCTCTCAGAGAATTCCGAACCGGAGACGAAGTGGCAATCTGGCGAAGGGGTAAAGGCATTAAAAGGTCTAGCGCACGGTGGAGAGGTCCTGGGATTGTTGCAGGTCAGGCAGGAGGTAACTACTGGGTATCGATGCCAGGTTCATTCGTGAAGTGTTCGCCTGAACAGCTGCGACTCAGAACAACAGAAGAAAGAGAGGCTGACCGATTTCTAGTCAGAGACCTCCGAGCAGCGGCGGCTTCGCTATGGCCTGAAGTAGGAGCTTCAAATCGACCTCATCAGAAATGTTATTTTGACATTACTGCAGAAGATGTGCCACCGGGCGATTTGAGTTCGATACCACAACCCAATGAGGTGCCTGACTGTAGACCAGGTAGTGTTCAGGAGGAAAGACCAGACATGGCCGGAGCGAGACCACCTCAGACTCCAGAAAGTGTAGGAATACCCCGAACACCGTCATCCCTCAATCACTACCCAAGTCAGTCGTTAGGTGAAGAAGCCTCTCCAGGTCAAGATGTACAAAGCATAGACAGTAGTGAACGAAGTCTGACGGAACGTCTGAGTCAGCTGTCTGAACACGATCGCATGTCATGGCAAGAGTCCGTGCGCCGTGCTGATCGACTGGATGGACATGTGAGGAAAGAACCACCAAGCAAGCAAATTGAAGCACCTGACAAAAGGCAGAGAACTCAGGAACCACAACAAGTTGGCGGTCAAACATTCCCTCCATCGTTGCCTCATCCAGTCGTGAGCCAGAATGCAAGTGCCATTCCGGTCCCAAGCAGTGCAGGATCCAGCGTTGGATCAAGCTCGCATGAATCAACGACTCAAGTTCGCTTTGCACATGATTCCGGAAGCAAGGCAGTAGCATTCTCATCTCTTGATGATGAAGAATATTTTGTTTTGTGCATTGATGGTGAGGAAGACCAAGTGTTGCTAGCTGGGGGAAGAAATGAGCTAAACCTCAAGGATCCCAAATGGACAAGCCCGACAGGTAGACAGAAGCTTCTTGAAGGGGTTAGGAAAGAAGTGCAAAATGTTGTAGAAGATAAGTTGGCCTTGAAACCTTTGTCCATTGAACAGTCCAGAACGATAAGGCAAACAGAGTCCGATCGTATCGTGCCCAGCAAACTTGTCCTGGTAGAAAAACAAGATGAATCAGGATGCGAGCTTGTGAAGGCCAGATGGACAGCCAGGGGAGACAAGGATCCCGACTTGATCGCACTCATTCGGCAAGGCAGCACACAGTCACCGACCATCTCGTCGAACGGTAGGTACACTGTTTTGCAAACCATAGCTAGCCATGGTTTTCGCATGCAATTAGGAGATGTGACCGGTGCATTCCTCGAGGCCGATGAAATGGAAAGAGGCGCAGGAAAGCTATACATGGCACCCCCCAAGAACTTTGCCTTACCAGACCATGACCCCGAACAGCTTTTTGAAGTGATTCGACCGATCTATGGACTGAATGATTCGCCCCAGAAATGGTTCACCAAGTTCGATCACACGATTCAGAAACTCGGTTGGCATCAGTCAAGACTAGATCACTGCATATACTTTTTGTGGGAGAACAAATGTCTGAAAGGCGTTCTCGGTGTGCACGTTGATGACGTGCTATTAGGCGGCCATGGAGAGAAATTTGAAGCATCAATCACAAGCCTGCGTAACACCTTTCCGTTCAGAAAATGGAAGATCGGTGCTGGGAGTTTTTGTGGCTCGGAGCTGACCCAATGCGACCAGACTGGAGCGATCACTGTCAGCCAAGAGAAGTTCATTGAAAAACTCGAGAAACCGAAACTCAGAAATCGTGAATCACCACTTGTTGAAGTGACTCCAAAGGAAGCCTCATCTCTGAAATCTGTTTTGGGTGGAGCTCTTTGGCTTGCTCGAGAAACCAGACCTGATCTCGCTGTACAGGTGAGCCAGGGGCAACAGCTTTTGCCCAAACCGACACTCGGTGCTGCTCGAACGATAGGAAATGTTGTGAGGAGAGCTAGACAATACAAGACCATGGTTTGGAAGATCCTCCCAATTCCCATGTCCGAACTTCGTTTGTGTTTGCACACCGATGCAGCTTTTGCTAACGCTAAGAAGCAGGGGACGCAAGCTGGTTATTTGGTAGGGGTAACAAATGACGACTTGCAGGCAGGGAAACCTGCCCCGTGGAGCCCGTGTGTGTGGAAGTCTTATAGACTCAAGCGAGTCGTGGGTTCGACTTTTGCAGGGGAGTCACAGGTGCTCTCGGATGGGTTGGGACACGCAGAATGGTTAGCATGTCACCTTGCAGAAGCTAAACATTTTGATTTTGCTTTGTCCAAACGTCAGCAAGTACTCGGAGAGTTCAAACTGCAAGCAATAGTTGATTGTAAGAGCATCTATGATCACCTTCAGAACTTTGCTTCACCCGGAAGCGTCGGCGACAAGAGAGTCGCGATCGACCTTGTGATCGTGCGTGAAACATTGGCTCGAATTGGGGGTGTGATCAGGTGGGCGCCCACCTGGCTGCAGTTGGCAGATGCTTTGACTAAGGAAGCTCCGGAGGCAATGGATTTACTTAGAGCAGCTATGAATTCCAATAAATACCATCTAAATAGTGAGAGTACTATGATGGAAGCTGCAGCTAAGCAAAGACAGGTCCGTTTGGCACGAAAGGCTACATGTGAAGGTGAGGCTCAAGAAACCAAACATTCGGAAACGCCGGTGCTTTTCGTTAGTCAGCAAAACATCAACATGGTGAAGATCGCAGTTGAAAAGACATCAGATGAAGAGGTTCGTTCGCTCTTCGAATGTATGGTGAGTGGCTGCGTGATGAACGGAGATGATTTCACGAAGTGCTTGCAGCAATCACGTTCAATGTGCAAGGCCAGAATCCCGGCCTACCATTTCAATGGTAAAGTGTTCGGTGGAGATGACAGCGTCCTCACGCTGACCTTCACAAAGAGCACCAAGATGATCCAAATCCAAGGGAGTGCAACCCTCTTGGACAAGGCTGAGGAGACGTTGAAGAAGATCATGACAGTGTACTCGAACGTTCTCCGTGGCGGTGAAGTACTCCCTCTACCAGATGGCTGCCAGAAGTGGGGAACTGCCATCAAGGAAAGCCTCGGTTCGGGATCCATTTCTCACTATCTCGAGAGCCTCCGTGCCGAAGACACGAAGGGAGATTCCTCGATTGTGAAGACAGAGATGGTGAAGAAGCAGATCCTCGTTCCCGAGGACGAGGCCTTTCAGGCAGCAGTGGCCGATCTGTGCAACGAAGGTGCTCGCAAGTTGTTCCACTACCCGGCATGGCGTAACAAATTTTTGCAGTTCATGCTTCAAGAGTTTAATGCATCGACGGATCAGGTCTTGGAATTGGCTGAGTTGGCTGAAAGCCTTAGCGAGCAAGAGACTGTTGATCAGTGGACCTTCGAAGAGGGACCGATGACTGAAGGACCAATGACCGAGGCAAAGCCGAAGGCAAGGTCGGATGGGTACCGTCCGCACCGTGGCACTCAGGCCAAGAAAGAATTTTGAAGCTGTGTGAAACCAGCCATTGGCCTGAGGTGCATTCATGTACCGTTGCTTCGGTTCAAAGGTCAGTAGCTCCAATGCGCCAGGCGGCGCGTGGTTGGTGCGACTTGGCATGAGCCTGGAAAAGCTGCGCATTTGATCGAGTGGATTTCGTTCGTTGAGCATTGTTGTTGGAAGTCAAAGGATTGACACCAGTTGCTTGTGTTGGGGCTGCCAGTTCAATCTGCCAAAAACGGTGGCCCAAAGCTGTAGTTGGGAGGATTTTGCTTTACTACCTGAGGCTTTACAAAATGTTTGGTCGTGTAGTTATGTCGTGTTGAAGGCCTGGAGGTCATGGGCCCTACATATGGATGTGGATTTGCTTGGTTTTCAGTTCAGTATTTGGCTCCTCTTGGGTTTCCACTTCTCGATCCTTCGTAGGGCCAAGATGACCGAAGCAGGCCCAAGCCGAGCACACACACACCCACCCCCGACCTCGGCAGACACGGGAACTCTGTCCCACAAGGAGACGGTGGTGAAGCACGGTGCAGAGCAGGTGCAGGTTTGGCGTCGGTCCTTTGACATCCCACCACCACCGCTGGAGAAGGACGAGAAAGCGAGAGGAAGCGAGAAGTGGCGACTGGCGAAGCGACTGCTGTGGGCGTTTGATTGCATTTGAGTGACCAAGCGAAGAAGCAGAGGAAGGGTTGTAGTGGTGGCAGTGACACTGTATAGCCACTGTAGCTCTAGCATGCTTGAGCATGTGAGGATGTGTTTTCACGCAAGCATCAGACAGCTAATTTGATTCATAGCGGCCCAAGTGTCCAGGACAGCAAGTATCACCCCTCAAACGAAGCCAAGCTCCTTGGCATTTGGGGCAATTCCGCATGTTCGACTTGAAGGTAGCTATCCTTACAACTAGGACTAGGAGGACAAAGACAGAGACGTCCAAAGAGCATCAGTTTTCTGTGGAAAAAGATAATTGAGAGGTCAAAAGTCAGGATATCAACTCATCGTTGGCTTCATGTGAGCCATCAAGGTGCCGGTGCTATGCTAGGCCTACTCGGCCTGCTAGGCTTTCAACGATCGTTGGAGCGTTCTAAGGTACAAGGCTTTGGACCCCAAAGACGTGCCCGACACGGAGTGCTTGAAGGACACCATCGCTCGTGTGATGCCCTACTGGGAGGAGGCCATTGTGCCTGAGCTCAAGGCACGCTTGGCTGATCTTGCCAGTTGGGCGCGAAAGTCACAAAACATGGGATTGGTATCAAGCCGATTTGGTGCTTTTGTGGTGCGGCAAGGAGCCATAGGCCATTTAAGGAGACCTGTGACTGAAAAGGACGGTGTGATTTAGTAATTACTCTCATTGAGCCAATCTAGTTTGTCACGGCGACGTTTGTTGTTGTTTTGTCGTTGCACGAATGGGGCGCTGGGCACGAGGCCGGCAAGACGGTATTCGTGGCTGCACATGGCAACTCCATCCGTGCGATTGTGAAGATGATTGAGGGCATTTCGGATGATGTGATTCCGGGATTGGAGATCCCAACAGGACTCTTGGCTGATCCCTATGTCCCCCATGGAAGATCCCATCTCATTTACCCATGGAGAGGAAGAATTGGAAAAAAAACGTGCATCCACCATCCAGGCAATGCGAACCAGATCCAACTACTGAGGACCATACCAACTACTCGTACCACTAACCAGGTGAACCCACTCATTAATTCCAAGGTACTCCTTTGGTGTACGAGCTGGATGCTGACCTGAAGCCCATCGCCAGCCCATTGGCCGTCGAGCCACTGAAGCATCTTGGCGATCGGAGTGTCCTTGCGGGAGAGTGATGCAAAAAGCAGGTCCAACTGAGGAGAAAGATGGTTATCTTATGTTATTGTTGTTTTCACATTAGGGATCGGAGTTGCATTCTTCTTTGTCCCAACAAGAAAGAACTACCATCCAAGTCACCCATCATTGGGATCGTCTTGGGCGATCGCTCATGCTGAGATCATGTTTATATCGTCCTAGCTGGGGCGGCGGGTGAGGCCGCTTACTGGCCTCAGGTTCGGACGCTACCTGGGCGATGCCGAGAAAATCAAGGCCGCCGCAGAGGCCGTGAAGAATCAGACCAAGGCCGCGCGTGGAACCGGCCGCTGCGCGTGAACGACACGCAGGGTGCGCGCGTGAGTTGGTTTCTTGGGGGTTCCTTCGGGGGGCTGGTGGAGTGTATTTGAAGGAAGGACTGCATGCTGAATCATGCTTAGAGGCTTAGAGGTGTGTATTTTGAGAGCAGGGTTTACATTTTCTGGGTGACGGAGCTGAGCTGCCTTGCCTCAGGTGGGCTGAGCAAATTTTGGCCTTTGAGCTGAGCCAGACTGTTTGGCCTCCACTTTCAGAACATAGATAGACTGTCGATAGACTCCCCAATTAAAACATCAGAGATCCTGGAGCAAGACAAGGACATACTAAGACTTAAGGCACAAGAAGAAGCGGAGGGATTCATTGTGATGCCGGGGTTTGGATGGCCAAAGTCGGGCTAAAGAGGTGAAATCGGACCTGCAAGCGACAGGCCATCTTGTGAAATAGGACAGAGTGTGCATTCGTTTCAATGAAAAAAGGGGCAACTGGACTTTGCAGATGGAAGTGTCACGTCGAAAAAAACTGCCGACCCTGGCCAAAGGGATGTCAATCGGACATGCTGCAGGTGCTCGAGACCCACTTCACTAAACTGCATGTTGCCAAAGGAAGGCATCAAAGCTGCATAGCGTGATGATATATGTACCTATGTATCATTATAATACTGTAATACTCCAGTTGCACACCAGAGGCTTTTCCCAAGGCTAGCAGGCTACCTGCAAGAACGGACATATATGCAAATATTGTTCGAGTATTTATATTTATATGTATTTGCTCACATTATATGCATATGTATTAATATGTATATAGTATATACACACACACATATGTATATATATATTATATAGATTGCACTACCCCCAAAAAAAAGACCTCTCTATAACAACGCAACAATAAGCAGTGAGATCACACCCTGTGGGGAGACCGGTGTTACCAGGCTGTTTGATGTTCTACCGGACGCCATGGCCCGATGGCTCGAGCGGCGTTGGAACTTGTTTGCCACCGCTTTGGCACTCAACATCGCTGCGGGCTGCACGTCACATGGAGTGAGTGAGACAGATGGAGTGAGGGATGTAAGTGGTATGAGCGAGTGAGGGACAGTGTGTCGGGGACGGTCCGTGCATGGGTGGAATGGGGAAGGATGGAAGATGATGGAGAGGATACGAGGGATATAAGGATGTTTTTTTGCAGGGGTTCCATTCGCAACCTGCTAGGATGATGAAACACTGATTACCGTAATGTTTGCAACTTTACGGATATAGTTGATGTTTGATTGTAGTGGCCGCGGGCATGCATTGTGATACTGTACCATAGTTGCATACAGTTGCATTCTGTTGCCCTGGTGTTGTTGTTGTTGTTGTTGTTGTTGCTCATCGTTTTCCACATTTTTTAGCCAGTGCGCCCATTAAAAAAACAAGCAAGCTTGCCGCGTTTGGGTTCAGCTGCCCAGGTATGACTACAGTGCCTACAGCCCGGTCGTGATCGACACCTTCGGCCTTACCCTGAGGGAGACAGACCTCGTGCCATGCACAGCGATTGTTGGGGCCTGTTTTCTCAGGGTGTGGGTCATTTTTGGAGCCCGGTGTGGGTCATGTGTAGAGATCCTTGACAACTGGTCAGAGCCACAGCGGACACAACTTTGCCATCCATCCACATGCAGCAAATTGAGCTCAACCCTCAGATCATGGGCCAAGGGTCCAAGGGTGCTTTTGTCACAAGATGTCACACTTTGAAGGTGATGAACTTTGCGTTCTTCTTTTACGCCACCACCTCCTATGGCTACAGCATTTGCCACTCGATCGAACCAGTGCGCTTTTGAGCTTGTATGAGCTTGTGCTTGACCACACCCTCGAAGACCCCCTGCCGCGAATGCGAGGGTCATTTCGTGTCCTAATTTGGTTGGGTCACTTTTGCGTTCATCGACCGGGCAGAGTTGCAAGCCATACAGAGCCATTGGAGATATTGGAGGAGCAAGCTGTCCTGGTATCCCAAAGAAGGCTGCTGGTCTTCAGGATTTCTTTGCACCATCCACTTCGATTGAACAATGCTTTAAACGGATACTACAGTATTTTAACTTTGTGAACTGCAGCGACACACCCTCTCAGAGCACAGCAGAGAAAAAAGAAAATACATCACTTTGACATCCGCTAGCCGCTAGCCTTTGCTGCCAGTGACCCTTTCCTTGGTGAACGGGGCATGACCTCGTTCGGGCCTCCGACCCGAGGCAATCAGAAGCTGGGCCCCAAGAGATCACCCCGCATCGGTTGTGCTGTGATGTCGCTGAGCCGAACCGAAAAAGAAGAGCCACGGGTGAGCAACGGGTGAGCAAAAGGACCATGGGTTCGACGGGGAGAAACAGAAACGGTTTTAGATGAAGATCAATTTGAAAGGCCAAACATTGGCTTTCATGAAAGGTCACAAACAGCAGCATGCAACCTGTTTGGTTTGATGTTTCTGGGGGCATGTGCGTGTCATGCGTCGCGGCCCTGTTTTTTGGCACGAGAGTTCGCATGCCTTTTTGTTTTCTGTGCGCAGCGCCATGGTTGATAGAAGGTTGTTTCTAATGGCTTCTAGTTACTACTAGTAAGGCACTTGTTACTACTAGCGTGGCACCTGTTACTAATAGCTTCTTGTGAGTTCAGTTCATTCCAGGAATTGTTGAATGTTGTTGTAGAGTTGTGCTGAGGCTGCTGGGGTTTCATGACCATGTCGTCGAGCATTGGGCACAGGGGTGGCCATCGTCCATAGATTTGTCCAAGATCGTCCCAAGGTTAGCTTGCTATGCGCTTCTCGTGTACAACCTGGTGCAGCCTTTGCTGCCAGGTGGGATGACGAGAACAGGGTGTTTGTAGTGGTGTTTGTATAATGCTATGTGTCAATGTTATATAAAAACCAGATATGGGTATTTACAAATCTAGACATGGATTCATCTCCGTATGGACCCTCAAGACATGGGTGTGGTGAACATCTGCGGGGCAAGCCTCCCACCCACGCGCGGTGGACCTCTATAGGCCTTGGTGCGGCCTGGGAACGGTTTGAAAGGATCCCTGGTCCCTGCATGTTTGATGATCTCCCCCGAGAACTCACGGTGTTATACGATAAATAAATATATTATATGATATGATATGTATATGGTTTTGTTTGCTGCTTTAATGTTAAGCACCAAGCGGAAGTTTCCCAGAACCGCATCTCCTGGTCAAAACAGATTCGTTTGTGGTCCACGCTCAAGGTCCACATGGCGCTGCACTGATGTCCGTGCTGATGGGCGTGGGCTGGGCTGGTCAAGGGACCAGTCTTGGTGCTGGATTCCAACAGGTGCCGTGGCCTTCACCCGTGCTCCGCCGCGCCCGTGAGCGCTGATTGCAGCCCAGGGGGAGAGGGAGAGAGAGGTTAGATTGTAAACAGTCAAAAAGGATGGAGTTGCCACTGTGTTGTGGACTTTTTGTTTGGAGCGTGAGATGAACGTTGATCACAGCGTTGGGATAGGAACAAGGACTCGCAGAGTTGAGTAGGGCGCTTTGACTTGCTAGCATGAAAGTGGAAAATGGCTCTTGGAAGTTTGGTTTCCTCTATGACTTGGCCGTTCACCTTTCGAGTTCATTCGTGCAATCTCCCAATTCGAGAGATCTTGGGCTTCTTGGGCTCCTTGGCCTGGTTTCCTTGCGCCGGCCAGGTGGTCCGATGCTTTCCGGACTCTTCGGGATTTGCGGTAGGCGCCCGGGGTGGATCCGGATCGGCCAGGGTTTGAAGATTTGACCTGTTTTCGTTGGAACCCATTGCAACAATCATTGACATTGAGAACTTGGAAATCACTCACTATGAACAAATGTTTGTTGGGGGAAGATGTCGCTTGAGTATGCAATTCTAAGACAGTCCGTGTGTTTGCAGTGTTTCGGGACAGCATTCGGGACAGCATGGGACATCCGCGTCGCCGCGTCGCCAAGACCGCACACCAGTGGAATCCGGTGGAATTCGCAGCAGCGCCTGGTCCATGGAATTTCACGTTGAACCTGCCCACTTGCACCACACTCCCAGTGGCACATCATGGTGCATTCAGCCAAGAAGAATCAAGAAGGTTCATCTATGTATACATTAAACATTTGCGTTTGACCCCCCCACGCTCCACTTTTTTCGAGTCGTATGAAGTAACTATGATTCATCAAGTGAACCTCCGAGAGCTTCCCAACAGCCAACTTCGCTTGTCAGGTGTCATCAAAGGCAGCCTGGGTGCTGGCGGTGCTTTGGCACCGGCCATTTTCTTTGGCCTTTGGGGCCAACGTCCACCGGAGAATGCGCTTGGATGCTGGGCAGCTATGTGGGTGTGTGCTCCTGTTGAGAAGAGACCTGACAGTTGGATTGCACTCATACATTGAAGGTCCAAAGAGTTTCCTACTTACACCATTTTATACCCTATGTCAGCATGTCATGCCACTATCTATGCTTGGAAAAAGCATTGGGCTTAAGGACGCCAAGGCAAGGAAGTAATGGAGGACATGATAATGACACTAGTAATGAAAGTAGAATAGTGGTGCGTGATGAATAACTATCAATAACTACTGTCATGGAGCCAGTTGCACAAATTGGCAAGTTGGCAGCTCAAGGTTTCGAATTTGATCTCTTTTATGATCCTTCCTCATGAAGTCACTTGCCAGGGAAAAAAATCAGTTTCCCGAGTTTCGTGTTACATTTGGGTCACTTTTCTCGGCCCAAAATGCTGTCTCAGAATTCTGCCCGTCCCGAGGGATGAAACTATTCCCTGCCTTTGCTAGCATCACTTTGGGTCTTTCCATTTGGCTCTTCACCTGCTGCGTGGACGCCCGGCCGGGCTCCTCTACAAGAGATGGCCTGGGGACTCAGCTGGGAAGCGCTGGGAGTCAAGTGCATTGCAGCGAGAGGTATGTTTCAGATAGATGGACAGATAGATAGAGATAGATAGAGATATAGATTCAGACATAGATTTAATGCTTTTCGATGCGTTCATGAGATGACACGCTGCTAAAGAGTTTGGCTGGCATTATCATACATTA